TGCGGCCAACAGAAGAATAATGAGCTGCATTCTATTACTCCTTCCTGTACTGTCCCGGGAACGCATGCTCTGTGACCCCAGACTCAGGGTGGGTAGCCGAGGTGGAGAGAGACGATCATAGCTCTCATTTTCTTGGTTTCTTTCGATAGCTTTCTCTGTTGCCCTAGCTGTCCTGGGACTTGCGGTGTAGACCAGGCTGGCTTGGAACTACAGAGGTCTGCCTGGCTCTATCTCCTGAGTGCTGGGATTAAAAGCTCATAGGGGTTTGCTGTTGTTGTTGTTTTCTTTTTCTTTTATGCTCCATGCAATACATTGTGATCATATTTCCCCCTCCCCCAAAACCCCAGCTCCTCCCTCACCTCCCTACCCACCCAACTCCATATTCTTTCTCCCTTTTAAAACAAAGCATGCAGTGCAAGTGTTTGAGCGTGCACACACACACACTCTCTCACACACACACACTCACTCACACTCAGACACACTCACACACACTCATACTCACACTCACACACACACTCACACACACACTCACACACACTCACACTCACACACACTCACACTCACACACACACTCACACACTCACACTCACACACACACTCACACACACTCATACTCACACTCACACACTCACACTCACACACACACAGTGGAGTCTGATTTGGCCATTTATAACTTCTGATGGGGACTTTACCTTCTGATTTTTTAGCCTCGTGGTAGAGCTGCGTAGCTCACTGCACTTAACTGTCATCCTTTAGCCCTGTGCCTTTTGCTAGTTTGGGGCCAGGAAGGGATGGCTAACTGTATTTGTCATCACCAGTTCATAGGTTAGCTTTGTGGCCAAGCTTCTCTTTTGGTTCATTTTAACTCAGCACTAACAGGCAGTTTAAGGGTTCCTTGATGAAATGTTAGTGTGCGAAAGTACTAAACAGCCCCTTGGGAACCTTCCATCCCTCCCAATCCCCTAACTCTCTGCCTACTCAGTGACATAGGCAAGGTCAAATGAATAGCGAGGAAAAGATTGTATCCCTTTAAATGTTAACAGCAAAGAGATCTTAGAGCACCACCTGCTGCCTTAAAATAAAATTTCCTTCTGTTGGGTCATGGCTTATGTTTCATAATGTGTATATCACAAAAGGTGAACCTGTGCAGTGACTCAGGGAAATAAAGCTGACTACTGGGTGATGGTTTTGTGTTTATAGCATTGGCCATCATGGCTCTGAACTGCATGAAATTTGCTGGCGGAAGAGCCGGAAAGTACGTGACACAGTAATAGTGATGTTAGGTAATTACTATTTCTGTGGTATGTACCCTATGTGAGCTTCCTTCTAAGACACAACCCACGATTCCCTGTGAGTTTGTATCATGTACTCTCCGCAGATACAAACACAAAGACAACATTCGGTAGGCATCACAGGCTGCGTAACAGGACTTGCAGCTGTGCACCCCGGTTAGGCTCACCCCGCAATCAGTGCCTCTTGTGTCTTCAGCAAGACACTCCGGCAGTGTCATTTTCGTTTCACACCTGTCTGTGGTCAAGAATTTACACTATTCATACCAGTAACATGGAGAATTCATAGCCGACACGTCCATCTTGTTGCATGCCAAACACTCTTCTAAGTGCTTTGCATAGGGAAGTCATTTTCACCTCTGCAAACCTATGGAGTGTTTAATCTTAACGCTCATTTTACAGGCAAGGAAATAGTCAAGTGAGTAGCCAAGAGCACACAACTAGGGAATGACAGAAGCCATGTGCAATGGACCTGGATAGTCCGGATGTAAAATCTGTGTGCTATACTCCAATGCTTGGAAAATTTGATTCTAAAATAATGCAATTATGTTCAGAGAGAATACAGTTTACAGAGATGGGCATGGCAGAGCTAAGTTCTGTTACGAACATGTTTTCCCACCGGCCTGGTCCCTGCTAGCTAAGCCGTTAAAGCATGGGGTTCTTAATCTCAGGGTCGTGGGTTCGTGCCCCACGTTGGGCGCCATTTTGTTACGAACATGTTTTCCCACTAGCCTGGTCCCAGTGCTGCGCCAGCCCCAAATAACACACAGAGACACTGTATTAGATATAATGCTGTTGGCCTGCTACTTATTGGCTAGTTCTGTCTTAGATATTAACCCATTTCTATTAATCTGAGTATTTCCACGTGGTCTTTTCTTACTGGAGAGAGGGCCTGGCATTCTTTTCTCTTGGTCCTACATTTTGAATCTCCTCCCTACTACTTCCCGCATCCTCCCTGTCTCCTAGTCCCGCCTATCTTGCTTTCCTATTGGCCAACAGTGCTTTATTCATTAACCAATAAGAGAAACATATATACAGGATAACATCTCCCATCAAAGTTCAATTAAAAAACAAAACAAACAAACAAAAAACTGCACTGGTTGGATGAATGGTTAGGAGAAGATGACTTTACATGATTTCTACTTTTGGCATCAGAAGCAATTCTGTGAGCTGGCAAGACGGCTCAGGGCATAAAGGTGTTTGTCACCAGACCTGACAAGTGGAGTTCAGTCCTGGACCCATGTGGTGGAGGGAGAGCCAGCTTACGCAGTTATCCTCGGCCTCTATGGGTACACCATGGTGCGTGCCTGTGCATTCGTGCGCCCATGCACACTCGTGCACACACACATACACCCACCACCACCACCAACAACAACAGAAACCCAGATAAACATCCAAAATCTTTCTTATCTTGAGCAGTCTTGGTTGTTCTAGAATGGGTAGAGGGAGGTGGAGTGGGTGGATTCTCGTTCTTCAGAATGTCTGCGGAATTACACTCTTTGTGTGTGTGTGTGTGTGTGTGTGTGTGTGTGTGTGAGAGAGAGAGAGAGAGAGAGAGAAAGAGAGAGAGAGAATTTAAGAGAATCCTAGGCAATGTTTACCTCCTTCTAAGTGTTTCTAGAATTTATAGGCTACTGAGGAGTATTAGTAATAATGGGAACGCTTATTCCTCATAAGAAGAGAATCTCCATTTTTACCAAGTCAACATTCGATCCCCTCCATTACTGTAGAAGATAGCAGTGATATTAATGCCACCTAGTGGTTAGAGTAAACCGTGGTTCCTTAGTCTGCCAATCACAAAGATTATCCCCAGTGAGACTAATTCAGAGGCAGAAAAGAGAGAGAGTGCTTGGAGTCTTCATGTGCTTGGTTGCCTGACGGCCATTTCTTTCGAGTGACCCAGCCTCTGCTTTAAGCGTGGTTTGCAGGTGACCCCAGCCCCCTGTCCCCAGTCTTCCCCAGCAGCTGCTGTAATACCTCCCGGGTTGTGTGGGGGCTGCAGAGATCTTCTGGAACTATTCTGAGTTGAAGAGGACTAGCTGAGCTGTCACATAGGGGCAGGGTGGGGGCAGGCTACTGTGAGAAGAGCAGTCTAGACAGTGATGTCTGGTTTGAAAATCTGTTTGCAGTTCCTCCTTGTTCATTTCTGTGACCTGGAGGTGACTTTGTGAGTCCTCCTCTGCTTACCCTCCTCACCCTCACACAGTCTGTCTGTGTACAGGGTCTCCCCGTCAAGTGCCAGCCCATTTCCAGGCTCTTCAGTGACAAGTTCCCTGCACACGCTGGTGTTCCAGGACTCTGCGCATACACGATCAGACCGTTAAATCTTGCCTCTCCTCCTGCTGTTGTTAATCCCCACTCCATAGCCTCTCACGACAATCTCAGGTCTTCTATGACTTCTTCTAAAATTCAGACAAACCACAAACACAGGCCCCCGCTTGGAGCATCTGTTGCTCACCTGTTTATTTTCCATCCATACTTGACTTAACGCTCTCCTGGCTGGCATATCATCAAATAGTATCTGCATTGCTTGTAAACATTTCATGCATGTACCTGCCGTTTTACTTATTCATTCAGCCCTCAGTTCTTTGCCTGCCACCCACTAAACTAAGCCAAATATAGAGCAGTCTCAGCTCCATCCGGCTCCTTCCCCGAGCTCCGCTAACACTGAGAGCGCGGCCCACTTTCGCCTGTGTGTTTGTGAGCGTGTGTAAATTATTTCATTTTTTCGTAAGTTACTTTTTGTTTTCTGCCACGAGAGGACCGGGGCCATCTTTGATACCTTCCAAAGCTATTTTCCTATTGAACTTGATCCTTTGAAGAGTCATGCTTACCTCGAAGAGACAAAGGGCACACCTGACCGTTTTACCCAGCACTGCATTTTTCTGGATCTGCTACTTGGAATTTTTCACACACCCTTCATTTGGAACCTGAAAGTCTTGTGAATGGAATGTAAACACTTCATGGAGTAGGACAGCTGAAGTCAGAAGTACCCCCAACAAAAGTAACTTTAGGGAAGGAAGAGTTTATTTGGCTTACAACTCCCGGTTACAAGCCGTTGTTGTGAAGAATGTCAGGTTGTGAGCTTGAAGCATCTAGTTATGTTCACAGTCAGGGTAGAGAGAAGATGAGTGTACACACGGTTGCTTGTGTCCGGTCTCTTTTCTATACTGCATATTCCAGGGTCCAGACATCGGGAATGGCGCTGCCCACGGTGGACCCAGACATAAGGAATGGTGCTGCTCAGTGGGCCAATCTCTCCACCACCTCAGTAATGTAGTCAAGGCAGCACCTCATTCACACGCCCACGGGCCAACCTGATCCAGACAGTTCCTCACTGAGACCTTTCCCAGGTGATTTTAGATTGTGTCAGGTTGGCATTTAAAACTAAATATCCACCTGGCCTGGTGTCCATTTCCTATACCATCCTCTGTTTCACGTTTAATCGGATGTATTCATAACTCATCTGAACAATACGGAAGTAGTGCAGGGTCCCCGTCCGTCCCTTTGTATCCCTCCATTGATTTACTGGATCTCAAGGCCATTTTCTAAGGTTCAGGTGCATCTTGAACCTCTGACACTCAGTTGGGAATGTAAATGATTTCACTGAGTAGGGTGAACTTGGGAGCACACAACTTAAATAACTCCAGAGAATATTTACACAAACTCGGTGAAAATCTAAATTCACGTGTTGTGTGTTTGCTGCCACAGGGTTTCCGAGCGAGCCCTCGGCACATCCGGAGACGAGTTGCCGCCGCCGCTGCTGCCGCCGCTGCCCGGCTGGAAGAAGTAAAGCCCGTGGTGGAAAATCACCATCAGAGCGAACAGGAATCATCAGGGAAGAAGAGAAGAATCAAGAAGAACAGTCGTGTGCAGCCAGAATTCTATCACTCTGTTCAAGGTGCTTCAACCAGAAGGCCTGTAAGTAGAGAGCTAGCTGAGTACACACTCAAATGGTGAAATTGTTCTCTCAAATTAGTTTGCGATCAAATAGTTAGCCCATCCCATTGTTACCCCTATGTGTTACCCCACGTGACTGTGTGTTCACATGAAGGGAGGTGTGTGGTTTCCGAGGAGGCATTGGGTAGATCCTTGACAGGGGCAAGAGCCCATCTGAGTCACACAGACCTGATCCAAAACCTAGGGGATAACTGGTGTCCTTGAAGTGGTGGTCTGGAATGAGGACAGGGGCTCTAGAGTTAGCAGAGTCTAGAATGAGGATGGGGCTCTAGAGTTAGCAGAGTCTAGAATGAGGACAGGGCCTCTAGAGTTAGCAGAGTCTAGAATGAGGATGGGGGGCTCTAGAGTTTGCAGAGTCTAGAATGAGGATGAGGCTCTAGAGTTAGCAGAGTCTAGAATGAGGATGGGGCTCTAGAGTTAGCAGAGTCTAGAATGAGGATGGGGGGCTCTAGAGTTAGCAGAGTCTAGAATGAGGATGGGGCTCTAGAGTTGGCAGAGTCTAGAATAAGGACAGGGCTCTAGAGTTAGCAGACTGAGGAGTGTTAATGTCCTCAGAGCAACAGTAGAGACTATGTCACCACAGGAAAAGCACTGAATGGGGGCTGAGTTGGGATCTGTGGAGTCTCTAGGGTTGGACAGGTTCAGCTTCCCTGTGAAGCCAGTTCAGGGTAACTCTGGAAGCTTCTAATGCTGGCCTTTCAGCTGTAGGAAGTCAGGCACTGTCTCCCTGACTGTGGTGGTTTCAATGAGAATTCCCCCCTGCCCCCACCAGGCTCATAGGTTTGAAAGTTTGATCCCTGGTTGATGGACCTGTTTGGGAAGGATTGGGAGGTGTGGCCTGGTTGGAAAAGCTGAGTCACTGGTATGGGCTTTGAGGTTTCCCCCTGAGCCTCTCACTTTTGCCTCTCACTCTGCCTGGTGGTGGTTGTCTTGAGCTGTAAGCCATCAGCTGCTGCTTCAGTGTAGTGAGTGACTGCCTGATGCCATGCTCCCTGCAGTGATCATGAACTCTAACCTTACCCTGGCACTGTGAGCCCTACATTAGATGCTCTCTTTTATACGTATTCTTGGTCATGATGTTTTGTCACGGCAGCATAAAAGTAGCTAAGACACTAATCAAATGTACTGTGTGTCTGTTGACATCAGCACTACCTCTCCTGGGGTGCTGGGGCTCAGCGGGGGTGGGGTGGGGATGGGGGGTGATCACCTCCCTGTTTTCTGAGCACATTGTTCTAGGAGCCCTGGTGGTTTTTGTCTTGGTGGCTTCTGACACATGTATTTTCCAACCAACACTGTAATAGTTAAGGATTTGGGCCTTGGGAAATGCTATTTGAAAATTAAAAGTAATGTTTCTTGACTGCAATAATTTTACATAGGATTAAAAGGTATGTTCATGTGGTTCATCCTCAGGCTATGTGGAGCCTTTTAGTATCATTTCCTGTGCTGACAACCCAGGGGAACTGTCAATAAGATTTGATTTGATGATGCCTCTGCAAACCATGAAAACACAGATGCCATCCCATAGGGGTCACCGGGTGGGGGGCACATGTGGAAATAGGCTTATTGAGGAGGCTAACAGAAGGGTCCTGTCTCTGACGAATCATTTGCAACAGAAGCCCTGAAGTGCGCTGAGTAATGACAAGGGTGTGTTACCGGTGTCCACAACATACAGAGGAATTGTTGGGCAGGAGATGATGTGTTCAGGGAGGAGAGATGAAGGAGTATAGAGAACTGTTTGGATGTGTGGAGATTTACATAAGAGAAATGCATGCAGGAGGAATCTGGAGACGCTGACCAGGGGCCGGAACAATCCCAGACAGCCACTGGTTTAAAGGACCCTTACTATGGTTCATGGAGAAAGCCAGGCGAGTATAGTGATTTTAGGAGGGTTAAAAATGTGCAGCGCGGGCAACAGCCTGGGGCAGATCAGGGGCTACTGCAGTAGTCTGGTTGCTATGACTCAGCTCTGACATCCGTTATTAATAATAGGGAATCCGAGAGTGGCCTTTACTCGGCTGCTTTCTGAAGGAGTAGCTGGGAGGGAGAGAGACCGGAGGAGCCCTGAATGAGTAGTAGAGACACCTGGTGTATGTCCTTGGGAGCAGGCGATGCGTTCTCCCCCATCAGATTGCATTGTAATTAGTTGTCTTGGGAGATCAGAAATTGTCAGTCAGCAGCAAGGAGACCACTGGCTCCTTGTATCACATGGTTTCTACGCAAACTTTTGAACTAGTCTGGCCAGTGCTAACATTTTATGTCATCCGTAGCCTGAATGGTTCATGTCCTCTAATGGGTTTCGTTAGCTGCAGTCACTCGTACCTGCTGCAGCCATGGTATTCACCAGGAGCCCAGACCTGCTCTTATTCTTGCTTCTATATTTGGATAAAGTCAGCGCTGCCATGTGTGGCTGCAAAAAGCAGCTGTGGCTGTGGCTTGGAGGTGGGATGAGCTTGCATCAGGTCGGTTACGTAGTGTGGTTAGATCGGATGAGATTACATAGTGATCCAGGGTTATTTGGATGGCATTGCTAGTAGCAACTTTAATAAGACCCGTGAATAAGGAAGACTGGCAAAGTAACTTCAGTGAGGCTATAGCTCAGTTGTAAAATGCTCACCCGACTTTCATATGGCTCTGGGTGTGATCCCCAGCATGCAAGGAAGATGCCAGAAGAGCATGACTACCTTTTCTGCTAGCCTGTAGTAGAACTACCTTCATGACGGCATGCCATGTGGAATGCATTGCCCTTGATGGCCTTTGGCTGCTGTAACAGAATTCATAATTTATACTTAAGTGTGCCTATAAGATGTATAATGGGGATCACTAATAGAAACTTAATTAATAATACATGGACTTCTTATGTCACTCCTTTGGGAACTTAGATGTCTCTAGAGCTGAACAGAGAGCCAGTTTGTCCTGATTTTCTCATAGTAAATGTGTCTTGAGACTTATTGACTATCTTAGGGTCTGTCGCTGGCATGTTTAGGGATCTTGAACAGAGCTGGAGCAGGAAAAAACAATTAGATACAGTTCCCCCTTGTGCTTTAATATTTTGGGCAGTACAAATCACTGTGATTTCTGAATGCTAGAGTCCTTAATTTCTGCATTCAGCACTTTTTCATTGATGTGAACCACATACCCAGTGGAAACAGGAGGGGAAGGCTGTGTTTTGTTTCCTGGTCCGAGAAGACTGCACTCCAGCATGGTGAGGCATAGCAGAGCCATTCAGTCATTGACAGTAGAGCAGGTTCACACAGCTCAGGCAGGAAGGAGAGGGTGCAGGCTGGAGCCAGAGCAGGAGGCATCTGCAAAGGCTAGTTCCTAGTGAGCCACCTCCTCCAGCCAGGTCCTGCTTCCTATCCTACCCTTCACTGCCTTCAGACAGGACAGTAAGCAAGGCACTGTGCTTTCAACAGAGGATACCATACTGTACAGGACTTTCCAGATTCAGACCATAGTGGTTTTCATTGTATTCCTCCCGGTTTGCTTCCTGGTTCCTGGGCTGTGGGCCCTGTGTTCTTTGCTGTTTTTCTCCTCATTTAATTTTCCTAGCAGTTCTCAGGCAGCTGCTCAGTTTCCAGAGGAGGAAGCTTGCTGAGCTCATGCACCTGGTAGAAAGCAGGGCTTTCTCCGCTGGCAGGGATATCAGCTAGGAGCTCCCGCTTATTTCCTTCCTTCTGCGCTCCTACCACAAGCCAGAAATGGGCTTACTGAGTGTGAAAGTGTTGATGCGGAGGTTGGTTAATACAGTGGAGAAGAAACAGTCTTAGATCAGGGGAAGTAAAAAATACCAAGTTTGCTATAACTACAGGATCCCCTAATGGAGGTCTGTCTTAGAAGACTTGAGAGTCTGGATTTGGGAGCCATTTGTACAAAGATGTTATCAAATGCATGACCTGGATTGAGTGACCCAGGAAGTGAACCCTGAGAAAGGAGAGGGTGAGCTTGGGTGTCTGATGAGGGAGTTTGGCAAGAGGGTTGTTAAACTGAATTAAGGTTGGCCGAACGCTGCTTCTGAATACATTCTCAGTTTGTTTCAAAGGCTTCCCTGTACACAGTGAACTTTCACTTAGCTTACGTGGAGAGATCCTTGTGAAGGAGTAGAGTTCAGCCGTCACAGCTCCAGGAAGTGACAGGCAGCCAGCCGGCTGTCCAGATCAGAGAGAGGCAAGCAAGGCAGCTGCTGGTTTCTGTACCTCGCCCAGCTTTCTTCTGCCGTAAGTAGAACCTGAACATGTGATAGAGGGTTAGGTACATCACGAGTCAGTTCTGCCTGGCTCCTCTGGAATTGCAAATACTGTCTTTTATAATTTGGTTAACTTTTCTCTTAGCCGGGTGTGGTGGCGCACGCCTTCTTCGATCCCAGCTCTTGGGAGGCAGAGGCATGTGGATCTCTGTGAGTTTGAGGCCAGCCTGGCCTATGTAGTGAGTTCTAGGACAACTAGAGTTACCTAGTGAGATCTTGTTCACTGCCCCCCCCCCCAAAAAAGAAGATGTGGTTTACTCCATTCTTGCAACAGGAGTGTGATTTCCATGTAACCTCTAATTCTCCCCCTGGAAATAGAAATGCCGTAAGCAGAGATGGATCCAGGGCTTTTGACTCTGTTTTCAGGATATCGTGTTAGATAAAGAATGGCTGTTCAGGTAGGGATGCGGAAAGTGGCAGGAGGAGGTCTTCCAGGCCTGTTCATCACTCCTCACCATCCTGCGTCCTCTGTGAAACCGGTTTCCTTGCTCTTCTTTTCTGTTGCTTTCTGTTTGGCGTCTTGGAGAAGTTCTCCTCTTGTTGGACTGTGCCGCGCCTTAGGTGGTTGTGCGGCTACCGGATACTTTGGAACATTGCATAGTTCTAACTTTTATAAATTGTCATTAGCAAGATCTTAGCATGTCTTTGTCAGGGCTTGCTGGCTGAGCACAGGTCCTTGATCTTTATTATATTCTGTTACGAATGTTGCTGGGTGTCG